ACATGATGATGCCTCAGGTGTCCTACAGGCAGCTGTGAAGCCACATGAAACCTAACGAGTGAATAAAATGTCATGGGAATATATGCATCTCTGAATATTCGGTTTTTAAATATTAATATTTTCTTTAACCTAACAAAGAAGGTTAACGTATACTAGCCTAAGAAGTCCCAGGCCATAAAAAAAAAATCTTCACCTCTCTTAAATAAGCTTTTATATTGTCTTCTGGGTCTCTTCAACTTTTACATATACATTTGGTTTTAAATAAAATTCTTTAGCATTTTATAGGGTAAACAAAAAAAAAAGCTTGCAAAATTATGCACAGTGATTGAAGAACTCCAGGCTTCCTGTCAGTATCGTAGATTTTAAACTACCGATTATGACACGAAGTCCAAAATTATGTGTAACAACATTTAGTTTAGCACTAACAGGAAAGGACCAAACAGAAGCCAACTTCAGCCCAGTTAGCTGCTCATGGTTGGGAAGGTGTATTTAAATCTGTGCCTGTAATAGTTAATCTGTCCTCCACTATGTCTGTTTTTAGTTTTCTATCATTTCTATTGTTATCGTGCACACAGATACTGAAAAATGAATTTTTCCTAAACATTTCGAAACGTTTCCAAAAACATTAGACATCAAGATTTCCTGATGAAGAAATGGCATTTAAGAGCAATTCAACTTTAATTTCTTTATACTCATGGTTATTTGCAACAGGATTTTATTGCATTTTACAGTTTATTCTGTGCACTATTGGGACATGAATTATTTGCCATACAAGTGGTTTAGTGTATGAACATGCGTACTTTTATAAGAAACAGCTAGGAGTGTTCTAGATCACAAAGTCAGCCAAATGTCACCCAGTGCCAAGCATCGGAACAAAGATAATCCATGAAGACCATCATTTTTCTTCCCTGCTCCAGATTTATTGAAGGAAAAAGCTGCATTGTTAAAGACACAAACTCATAGGGATAGAACCGCCCCCCTAGGAACAATTAATTTGGCTGATAGTCAGCATGAATCTGACTTCACACAGCCAGTGGCCAGAAGCTGGCATCATAATTACACACAAGTTAGACCACTGACACACACACCCCCCCTAGGAAAGTTTCCTTCGGTTCAAAACACACTGCTGATTATGTGATCTGTTTCTGGCCTGCGGTGCGCCTACATTACACGTGCTCTTGTTTATTTGCAGATTTTATTTCAAAAAGCTTGTGAAAAATATGTATGTATAACGATGCATTTCTACCCCCACGGGGAGGGAAGCTTCCCTGGCCGCTCAGCATAAAAACCAAAAGTGGTGTTACTGGCTTAGAGCTAGACACAATAACATTAAAGGCGTCTCTCCACACATTAACAAGCAAAAGTCATCTGTTTTTCACATATAATAAAAAAAGGTTTCCATCTTTTTTTTTTTTATAACTGATAGTTTAAAACAAAACAAAAAGAAAAAAGTACAGATAATTCACTGGATTAGTCTGTTTAAAAGTGAAACAGTCATCAAAGAATTTTTGTCACTAATGTAACTTCATTAACTAGAATATTGCTAAGAAAGATTTATACCCTGTTTGATCAGAAAATGTTGTTTCTCTTATTGCATATATATATATTTATTCAATTTACTTGCTATAAAAGTTTTCACTCGCGTGTTTCACGGCCACACAAATCCCCTGCGTGAGGGTGTTTGTAGACAAGAAATACTTTCTTCCCGTCACAACCAGATTTTTTCTCAAGGTTTATTCATAAGATGTTAGGTTTTTTATGCACTAATGGGCCTTTTTGGACAGTAGGCTGACAGGAAAGGGGTTATGAGAGAGGGGGAGAGACATATAGCAAAGGACTACAGGTTGGATTCGAACCCGCATCAGCCGTTCCGAGGACTAAGGCCTCCATACATGGGTGGTGTGTGCTACCCACTGCGCCACCAAAGCATAACAACATGTTACTGTTTAACCAAAGCGTCTGTAATTTGTTTTGACTCTGACTACTTTCTATTATTGTAAGTAAGGAAGAACGAAGGTTGTTTCTGATAGAATTATATATAAAATACATATATATATATTTATAAAATACCGGGACGCATTTTTTTAAACCTGCTAACACTCAGCGTTTGATTCCCTTCCCACTGGCATAAAAAGCTAACCTGACTCCGCCAGATGGATTTGCTCCGCATATCCATCTGGAAACCTTCC